ACGATTTCTGGTTTTCGGAGACAGGAAAACGCTGCTCACTATATGGTTCTCACACACTGCTATTCAGCCTTCACTCTCTCAAAACGATTCCTAAAAGTGATACTGGGGAAATAAGCCTCAGGTGGTCACAATCCTCACCCTGCCAGGTACAGAATTCATACAGGGCAAGACAGAGCTGACCTGGCCCCTGCCCTCCGGGAGTTTACAGACTCTGGGAGGAGACCAGCATTCAACAAACATCAATAATGGCACATTCGAAAAGCACCATGAAGGCAAAGCAGAGCACTAAGGCAAATACATGGATGGAAGAAGTTCCAAGGAAGGTTACGTAGGACCAGGTATGAATGACGGCACACTATAAACAAACATTTAACCATAACGCCAAGTTAAAAACCTAGATGTATTCTGCTTCCACAAGACCTAAATAGCCATTTTCATAAGAAGAGACAAAGGATTTCACAGCTTTTCTGCATATATCCTTTCTATTTTGACTTCAGATAAGAAACACTGGAAGAGTCCAAACGTTTTAGAATTAAGGAATTTGTACTTCTATTTGTATCAAAAATAAAAAGAACTAAAAGAAAAAAATCCACTCTTAAATGTGTAATTCATTTCAGAACCAACTACATAGGTTTAATTTCAAAGAATCCAAAACAACTTGGTTTGTGAGCGTACTAAATCACATACAGAGAAGACCTTTACATGTCATCTACAGCTGCAAAGTTTCTGCAATTTAACAAAGGTATCTGAGATTAGGCCTAATTCTTAAATCCCGTCAGCTTTAAGATCTCAACATCAAATAACTTTATCAGCATAGTCCTATTTGATTACTTGCTGAGAAAGAAAAAGAATGTGGATAAGGTTAGAGCCTTGGACTTCACTAGAGAAAACAAGATATGGGCTGGGATATTCAGTTGTGGGGGTTTGTACAAAGATTTCGAGGCATCTTACTGATTTTCAGAATATCACTAATTTTCACTGCCTTTTAAATGAAGTATATATGCAATATATTCCCATGTCTTGAATAATCAAATTAAGGCAAGAAATCTAAAAGCTTTTTCAAGGTCAGTGGCAACTGACCACAAGTCTTTAAATAGAGTAGATTCCTATAGAACATTCTAGGAAATCATCAAACCTAGCTGCACATTAGAATCACTTGGGGAGCTGTCAGAAATGCAAAGGCCCAACTCATAAGATGCGATTTTAATTGGTCTCAGATAGGGCCCAGATCTCCACATATCACTCACTCACACTCACACACACACACACACACACACACACACACACACACACACACACTTGCCCAGGAGATACTAATAAAGAAACCATTGCTTTAGACTTGAGCTATCTCCCAGAAAGAAAAGACAACCACTTCCTGATAATCAATACTCAACTTCCATTTAAGGGGAAAACTTCTGCCTTAATACCAAGCATTTGTGTTGACATCACCACCTCATTCAAAAACAGTACATCTCGGGGAACATTAAGAAAGACAAAAAAAGTTTGCAGTCACCAAACATCCTATTCAAAGCAGCAAAAGAGGCCAAAAGTAAATGACATTTTTCCCTTTTGTCATGCACAGTGAGGCCCATTAGGTATTAGCTATTGGTTATCGTATTAAGATTGGACGATCCTGAGAAAAACCTTATTTCCGCTCGTTTTCATTTCTGTCAGACTTTCCATTATAAATTTTATTTTCCCTGCCAGTAAAAAAAAAAAGTAGTCTGAGGTTGCAATTTGGCAAGAACATTTCAAGCCTGGGTGTGATTTCCGTACTCCAATTTGATTTAAATTAGTTTTGCCATATTTAGTGAGAACTAAAAAAAGTCCGTTTGGCCACTTTGGTTTCTATGGGTTTATCTTCTATACAATTTCAAAAGGCTGAAAAAGTCACCGAGTTCATTTCTGATAATTTTATATGGAAGTGCATTAATGAATTCATATCATCCCATTACTATTTTCAATGAAAACAATTTAATTGCTAATAAAGAACCCGCCAGCTTTTGTTTCTCAGCTAAGACACCCACTTTTAAAAAGTCCCATGTCTATCACTATTAGTGGTACATCCTCAAGAGATACATGACGGATATGTTTTTTTTTAACCTGATGCATTCTGAAACAACAAACATTTCAAAATAATAATTTATTTCTCCAGGACAGCATTTGGCTACCTGTTGCTTACCATCACTATTTCTCTGCACCAAACAAAAGGCTATTGGAACTGGAAGAAGCACGTTCATACGTAACAGTGCTCATCCCTGGAAGTCCACAGGACACACTGTTATAATACAATAAAGCAGTTTTTGGAGCCCCTCAGGGCACAGCATCTAAAGGACTTCCATCCAGCATCTCTATAAAGTAGTAAACACGAGAAAACAAAAAGCTGCCTCTCCACAAGTCACTCACCTTGCCACACAGTGGGGAATCGGTTCAGCTGTGATCTGCTATTTAGACTTGAAGCCCAAGACACCGAGACTCTGCCTTTCTTTTGGGTTTGCATAGCTGGTGTTGGAGACAGGGATTCAAAACACAATTCGGCACAAGAGAAACTCACTCACTGGGAGATACACTAGGGTCTGTTCTAGTCTCAGATTTCACCGAAAGCAGAAATTCAAAATATATACCCTTTTCCTCTCCAGCCCCGATTTCCTCAATCAGGGAATTTCCAAAATTGTGCTCTTTGCTTTTCTCCTTAAGTGATCACACCGTTTATGGACACTGCTGAGCCCAGGCTAAGCAAAGAGAGAGTCGGTCCTTGCAAGATTCACAATCATGAAGCAGAAATAAGGATGAAAGAATCTCCACACTCCACGGCTCTATTATGAAGACTTTTTAAGAAAAGCGGATGCAGCCGTACTCCTGTATACAACAGAATTTTCCTGGACACAAATGTCTCAAAAGGAGACATTCCCCAGGCCCAGACATTCAGCCATCACACGCCAGTCCGTCCACCTCTAGTCCACCCTCTGCCCCTTTCCACTTCTCACCTTGTGTCTGCCAAAAAAATTAACTTCAGTCTCACCCGAGGGAAGTGTTGCCCACAAACCGAGGGAGGGTCTGTGTCCCAGCACATACACTGACAGACTCACGCGGTCTGGATGATGCTTTCACAAGTTAAGGGGCCTCGCGCTTACTCAGCAGAGGAAATCTTTGTGTCTGGGAGGAATCACGCCAATTCCTATTAGGAAGAAAGGATACAGGGGCGAGGAAGCCTATTCTCTCATTGACCAGAAAAAGAGGCCCGTCGAAAACAGAGACCTCTGCCATGACCATCAGCGAACAGGAAGGATGTTGTCAACTTTCTTCTCCCCCAAAACTCAAACGGCCTCTGCCTTGACCCTGAGAAACCAGATACACAGGAACAGGCTCTTCGGCAGGAATTGAGAGCTTTACACCAGAGACTCGGCGCTAGGAGGCTCGCTGCCGAGCTATCTACCCCGCACATTTGCACTCACATTCCAAAGATGTTTCCGTTGTGCTGGAATGGCTGTAAATTTCTTTCCTGCGGAATTCTTTCCAAACAAACTGCCATAAACTGTACTCTGCAGCTTGTGCAGCAGGAGCTCTTAACCCAGCACCGTTCACCTCATCACAACAAATCTTTCAGATGCCGAATATGACTGAATGGATGGCTGGGCCAAAGAAGTAAACTTTAAAAATGCAAATCTATCCAGAAAAAACAAAACAAAACAAAACACCACCACTCCACCAGAATTCCACCTTTCGTGATCCCTGACTGATACCTAAAGGAAACCTTCTCGAGCAGGCTCTATTTAATGACTCAAACTGCTTGCTTACGTTTTCCAGGATCCATGAAACAGGTTGTTTTAAAAAAAAAAATCAAAATGGATTTTTTTTCCATATCATTAAAGAAAACGGGAGGGTGAGAGGGTTCAGGAGAGCAAGCATTCCCTTCCCAGCACAAAAAGAAGGTACATTTCTGTTTGGGTGAATAATAAAACACTAGAAAGCTTTGAATCTGAAAGAGGATGATTAAATTCTATCAAGAGTTTTCCAAAGTAAGAAACCCATGCCCTTAGAAAAAGAAAGTCTAAATCTTTAGAGGAAAAAAATAATAATAATAAGATTTGAAACATGTGATTAGTACCGATACTGAAATTAAAAAGAAAGCGTCTATAAAAACTCAATTGTCTTGAAACAAAGCTTACACTTTTGGCTATGGATAGTATTTTTAGAACTGGGCTTTCTCTGGAGAGTTGAAAGTATGCAAATGCAGAGTGCCCAGACACACACACACACACACACACACACACACACACACACACACACACACACACACTCTATATATGTGCATGTGCCCAGACACACACACACACACACACACACACACACACACACACACACACACACACACATGCTATACCTTTGTATGACACTGGCATTTTATTATTTAATTAAAGTACTCTTATTTTTCTAGCTCACGCATGCTTCCCTTGAGACGGCTTTGCTGTTAGCCTGCTGGCCTTGACTTCCAGCCAAAAACAATTCAGAAACAAAAAGGGACAACAAATCATATTTTCACAGACATTTTTATCCCTCAATACAACCCTGTTTTCACACAACTTCCTACAGCCCCTATGAAAACTATAATTTAGGGCAGTAGCCACCCGAACCCAGGATCTGACACATGGCTGCACGAAGCATTTCCAGTGTAAGAAATTCTTAAGTTCTTAATTGCAAATAAACTCTTTTGATAGAACCACTTTACCCGAGATCGCTGGTTTGCAAACAGTGCCACTGGTACCGGCTGATGGATTAAAAAAATAACAACAAGCCAGTGAATACAATTCTGATACGATGAGGTGTTTATGACTTCCACACTCTGTGTTATTTCATTACTTTTTAAAAAGAGACAGGCATCGGCAGATTTTCAGTGCATTAGTGCCACAGTCTAAAACGCATCATCTAATTTACAAAACAAAGTGATTTACCAGGTTCATTCTCTCTCAACCCTTTCCCAAAGCGAGATTCTCACTTACCTGGTGGCAACCCTGTAAATTTGATTCTCTCCCATAAGATGAGTAGGAGCCCCTTTCTGTTTTACCTGCCAAGAGAAACAACAAAAAAAGTGTAAATTGTGTTTTTCTTTAAAAAAAAAAAAAAACCTCCTCCAGGTAACAGACATCCACTTCTCTTCCCCGATGTTTACATACGTAAAGTAGGCACTACTGGCAATGTATGCAAGCAAGACAGGGAATAACACTTCCTCACTCTGGCTATGATAAACTGGAAAAAAAATATCCTTCATTCCTATTCTTAGCCAAACTGCTCCACACTTCCAAAAACTGTCATTCCAATGGCCTCCACTTTCTCTAACAAACAAATTGTCATTCCTTATTTTCACTTTCTTTCTCTCTCACAAAATTTAAACAATTTCATTTTTATTTACACAGCAGGCAAATTATCTATGTAATGACCCTAACCTAGTCATTCCCATTGATTATATTGACACTTAATGGTGAGGCCAAAGCTAATCAATCAGGGCTCTCCAGATGGTGAATAAAGCAAAGAAACTATTCAAAATTCTGGGACTCTCTCTCTCTCTCTCTCTCTCTCTCTTTTATTTAAACTCCCTTTCCCAGGAGTAAAGTCCATCATGATAAAGATGATCATGGAATTCACATTTGGGAAAGAGGGCTTTTGAAAAATTGCCCACTCTGAACCCAGCTTCAGATTCTACCAGTAGAACAAGGGATAATGGAACGTCAATGTCTTGTGTCAATTCTAACAAGCCAATTTTTATCTGTAGACTGCTCTACAGAGATAGATAAAGGCTCAGAGGCTATTTGGCCATATCTAAGGGTAAAAATCAAGGCTGCTCATTTGTTTCTTTTAAAAGTATGTTGAGCCTTAATAATCAGCAAGGAAGACAATGAAACCACATTATAAGAGATCTAAGCAGTAGAATACACCTAGCGACATGTAAAGAGTCTTCACAGAAAACAATCCATACCAGGACATTAAAAAGGGCTAGTGCCGCCCACGTGCCCAGAACACAAAGCCCATCCCACCCAAGACTAAATGATACTGTTTTCCTTCAAGACTAGAGCTTAAGGTACATTGTCCTCTTTACCCAGGACTATACTATTCTTTTCTCCAATGGGAAAATTCAAAACTAGTATTTTGAAGGGATGAATGGATCCTTTGAAGTTTACAATGCCCAAGTTTCCCCCCCCTCGACTCAAGTTAAGATAAATGTTAGAAGTAACAGTGTTCATTATAATCTTTTAGTTCAATGACAATGCTGTTAGAGTATGCCTTCCTGACACCACACAAAGAATGTGTCTTTGATAAATCTTATATCTGGTCAAAGGCATACCTTGTATGTAAGTCACTATATATGTAAAATGGAAGATGATTTTGAAGAAAGCCAAACCTCAGCATTAACATTAACCCTCTTCCCCAGTATTACCTTTTCCACTGACTTCAGTGAATCTCAAACTTGGGAAAACACTCCCCCCCGCCCAACTCCTGGTATAGTGTTCAGTGCAAAGTAGAAAATCAATGCCCATATCAGTTTCAATTCCAATGAAACAGGACACCATCTCAAGCAGTGTCAGTCCTGGGAGGTCTAAGAGAATACCTTTCACTGTATGAGGATTTTGCATTAAAGAATAGATGCATTTGCCTGTTTCAGAAGTATAAATGGTCATAAAGACATATTTACTCTTCTGTGTAAGTCAGATGTAAGCTACTTATAGTCTTTAACTTCTCTTTATAAATATTACTAACAGATAACAGAAAAAAACTCTACCTTTTATGAGCTATCAAATGATGTACGTCCTTCCTGAAGCTCTCGCATCTACAAAGCTTCCATACAACCACAACATGATTCACTTTGACATAATATTCACTTGTTTAGCAAATAGAAAGGCAGATAGGTCAGTAGAAAGGCAGACAAACAGACAGAGAGAAAGAAGATAGATGACGGACTTCCTAGGAATTTGAACATCTAGTGACCTGTTTTGGTAATTTCCAAAAACTGGAAGGAAGAAAGGCTATCTATGTCTTTCTCTAGAAGAAATTACTGAAGCTATCCCCTACAGAATTTCACCACCTGGCATTATTTCCCAACTCAACTCCAGCACATAGACCTGGAGAGATGAATTTTCCTACTAGGATTTGTCTCAATTCATATATATATATATGTTAGGTCTATTCCTTTCATTCTTTTAAAGGTAAAAGGGGTCCATGCAAATAGTAAGGATGTGAGAGAGGAGAGAGAGAGAGAGAGACAGAGAGAGAGAGAATGAATAAGAATAAATGGGAGAGAGAAGAGAGGAAGGGAGGGCAATAAAGAGAGGGAGAGGTGGACTGGAAAGAACAGGGTGTAGGAAGGGAGAGGAGGGGAGTGAGGGGTGATCAGAGTATGTATTCATGTTGCACAGAGTCCCCAAAGTACTCTTGGCTGCAAAGCCCCAGCATTCTTTACTATCATATCACATACAGACTGCTTAATCTTAATTTTGCTTGTTAAAAAATATTTATCCAGATACAAAAATAAACCCACTGCAAATTACAAGTTGTCAGGGTTAAAAATCTACTCCTGTTTGTGTGGGGGAGGATAAGAGACCAGCATAGACATGAATCATTCTCAGTAATTTGAGTGTTTCCATGACATCAATGGGCACCCGTCCAGGACTCTGTCGAAGTCTGTGAGGTACCAAAGAGGCAGCGCAGCCAGCAGGAGGCTGGGAGGTGCACTTTTTTTTTTTCCTTTTTTTTTTTTTTTTTTTTTTTTTTTTTTTTTTTTTTTTTTTTTTTTTTTAAGGATTATGCTCCTTGTAAAGATTTCATCCGTAGCATCCACTTTTACCATCAAATAGATCGCTCCACAGATCCTGAGTGAACACATTTCATTCTGATCGTGTAAGCCTTTAACTTTATGACATCTTTTTGTTCCCAAATTCAACTATAAATCTGTCCTCAGAGCCCAAACCTCTGTTTGGGAGCAAAATAATCAGGGACTGTGGATAAACCCAAGCACCTTCTCAAACCTATCATATCTACTCCTCTAATTTCCTAATGACAAAAAGCAGCCATTTTACAATGACACCTCATTTCCAAGGGAAAAAATTATACATCTTTTGTGTAAATTGTCCATTAAAAATTAGCTATGGTCTTGATGTCGGTCTTCTGCTTAAAATGTCCGGGAACATTTGTTTCAGATAATAAAATTCTCAAGAGCGCTGATAACATGTTTGAGTAGGATTCTTAAGTAACTATCTGTGCTCGCGAACACAAAAGCTCCTAAATATGTGTGTTTACTCTATGTCAGGCATGGATTTTTGTCACTTATACCCACTGGCTGGCGCGGACAGCTTCTTTCCTCCATCCTTCGCCACCGACCTCCCCCCGTCCCCACAATCACAACGGAGCTTTGAAAGAGCTCAAGATTCTATTTTTCCAATATTTAAAAGAGATAGCAGTGATGAACAAACCCGGCGCGTTCACTGCAGAATTTTCGAGACAACCCTCCAGTACTAGAATGCGACAGCCGCTGCGGATATTTTTTGGCACCAAGACAATGGTGGCACTGCCAAGCCCCATGGCTAAAACTACTCAAAAGAGGCATAAGGGTAGCATTAATCGCTCAAGTCTTTTACTGCATGGAGTACTGTTGTCCATATTTTAAAAACTAAAAGTACCCGTTAGTAACATTTGTTGTATGCCCACCAAGGGGCGGGGGAGATTCTGAAATATACACCAGGAACAAATCTTGTCAAGCATTTGATTCATTTTATACCTAAAAGGACCAAATGTTAAATTTTGCTGCTGGTGACGATTTGCCGTGCATGAAACTAATAATCTAACCTAATGGGGTGCACTGAAGGCTGAATGAAAGCTACAAGAGAGGATTTCATAAACTAAGTCGACATATTGGCTAAACAACTTTCTTCTGCAAAAATGATGTATACAAGGAACGTGTAACACTATGTCACAATTTTTTAAATTAAGCAAGAAAAACGCTGTAAATGAGCAGACACAACATCTGTCAATCAATCCTTCTAGAGACAAAGGAGCTCAACACGCAGCCCCTTCTCTAGAACAAGTCGGCATCTACAGTGAGCAAACAATCGGGAAAGTCAACACGTGTTTTGTCCAAACGGAACCCATCAGCTGTTAAAACCTATATTTAAATTTGATTATTAAAAATGGCACCAATGGGCAATCAATAAAGGAGTCACTTGCTTCTTCTGTTGCCCTTGAAAAACTCAAGCTAAACAGAAAATATAAGCTGCTTCCAATTATTTTTAAAAACCAATCCTTTTGCTGATTTATTCAATTGTTCTTTGTCTTGCTGCCCCACGAAGGATAAGGGAAAAAAATTTTTTTTAATTTAGGGGCAGTATGATTAACAAATATCTATTAATTCGAAATTTAATACTTTTATATTCTTACATAATTTGACTTCTAATTTTTCTTCCAATATATCCATGGTATCATATTGTAAGGGAATGTCATGGGAAGTGGATGAGAATGAAAATATTACATGAAGGAAAAAATTGGTCTCATAAGTTCATTAACTCACAGGGATACATCTAAGAAGTATCAGCTTCGGTAGATTACTACACCTGGACAGTTCTAATCCATTTGGAAGGAGTGAGAGACAGGCAAGAACAACTTATCCATAATACTATTTCTGGAGATAAGCTGTGACATGGATGATCCCACGGGTGGTTGACCAGTAGGATAACAACAAGGTCATGTTTGGGTTTGTAGCCTTTCATTCTTAAAAGGCCACTTTTAACATTACATATAAATGGTAGGGGGGCTTCCCTGGTGCCGCGGTGGATAAGAATCTGCCTGCCACTGCAGGGTACACGGGTTCGATCCCTGGTTGGGGAAGATCCCTCCTGCCACGGAGCAACTAAGCCCATGAGCCACAACTACTGAGCCTGTGCTCTAGAGCCCGCGAGCCATAACTACTGAAGCCCACGCACCTAGAGCCCGTGCTCCGCAACAAGAGAAGCCACTGCAATGAGAAACCCGTGCACCGCAACAAAGAGTAGCCCCCGCTCGCTGCAACTAGAGAAAGCCCGCGTGCAGCAATGAAGACCCAACAAAGCCAAAAATAAATTCTAAAAAATTAAAAAAAAAATAAATATTAAAAAACGGTAGGTATTTCACCCACCACTGAAAAAGATGCACCTGTACAGTGGAACATATTATCCTAGGAAAAGCCTTGATTAAAAAAATTATCTGATGCTGTAGGACAATACCCAGCAAGGCTGTTTCATCGCTAATCCTCATTCTGGAAACTGAAGAACCAGCCTTTTGTTCCCTGCTACCGGACTAAGGAACTCAACACAACCACGTGTGAATCAGAATAAATCTCTGTCATCCCTGTCCCCAACCCCAAGCCATCTTTGGTTACCCTATAATTTTGGGGGGCATATTGAAAAGAGTATTTCATTAAACAATAACGGGAAGGGTGATTCCAAAAATATACATGAGGTTATAATTTACAGTTCTTTCATCTTTCCCGCGCCTGCCTTTTCCTCTCTTGCCCACGTAAGAATACCTG